TGGTGCCTGCAGAAGTCAGAAGAATTTGATTCTTGGGAACTGGGGTTATAAGCAGTTATGAGTTACTCTGTGGGTGCTGAGATCAAACCTTAATCCTATGCAAAAACAGCGAGTACTTTCAAGCCTTGAGCCATCTCCAGCATTATTATTTTATTTTTTATTGTTTTTATTGAGCCATATATTTTTATCCACTCCCCTCCCTTTTTCTCCCCTCCCCTTCTGCCCTCTCTCATGGTCCTGATGCTCTCAGTTTACACAGGAGATCTCGTCTTTTATTACTTCCCATGAAGATTAGATCCATGTATGTCTCTCTTAGGAGCCTCATTGTTATTTAAGTTCTCTGGAATTGTGAATTGTAGGCTGGTTTTCTTTGCTTCATTTTTAAAAGCCACTTATGAGTGAGTACATATGATAGTTGTCTTTCTGGGTCTGGTTACCTCACTTAATATGATGTTTTCCATATCCATCCATTTGCCCACAGATTTCAAGATGTCATTTTTTCTGCTGTGTAGTACTCCATTGTGTAAATGTACCACATTTTCCTTATCCATTCTTCGATCAAGGGGCATTTAGGTTGTTTCTAGGTTCTAGCTATGACAAACAAAGCTGCTATGAACATAGCTGAGCACATGTCCTTGTGGCACGATTGAGCATCCTTTGGATATATACCCAAAAGTGGTATTACTAGGTCTTGAGGAAGGTTGTTTCCTACTTTTCTGAGAAATCGCCACACTGACATCCAAAGAGGCTGTACCAGCTTGCACTCCCACCAGCAATGCAGAAGTGTTCCCTTTTCCCAACAACCTCTCCAGCATAAGTTGTCATCAGTGTTTTTGATCTTGGCCATTCTTAGAGGTATAAGATGGAATCTCAGAGTTGTTTTGATTTGCATTTCTCTGATGACTAAGGATGTTGAACATTTCCTTAAGTCTCTTTCAGCCATTTTAGATTCCTCTGTTGAGAGTTCTCTGTTTAAGTGTGTACCCCATTTTTTATTGGATTATTTGTTCTTTTGATGACCAATTTCTTGAGTTCTTTGTATATTTTGGAGATCAGCCCTCTGCTTCATGTGGGGTTGGAGAAGATTTTAAACATTTTGTAGGCTGTCGTTTTGTCTTGTTGACCATATTCTTTGCTTTAGAGAAGTTCTCAGTTTTAGGAGGTCCCAATTATTGTTTCACTCAATATCTGTGCTACTGGGGTTATATTTAGGAAGTGGTCTCCTGTGCCAATGCATTCAAGTGTACTTCCCACTTTCTCTTTTATGAGGTTCAGTGTGGCTGGCTTTATGTTGAGGTCTTTGATCCATTTGGACTTGGATTTTGTGCATGGTGATAGATATGGGTCTATTTCCATTCTTCAACATGTTGATATCCAGTTTTTCAGCATTGCTTTTTATTCCTTCATTTGTATATGTGTCTAAGTGTGGCACTGTCATGGCACACAAGTGGAAGGAGAAGGTGACCTGTGGGAGTAGGAGTCAGTTCTCTCCTTCCACTGTGTGAGCCCTGAGATCTGAACCCAGGGTGCCATGCTTACTGGCAGACTTTTGTCCACTGAGTCATCTTGCCCACCCCTGCTTGTTTCATTAACAATATACATTATTATTATGATATATCTCTGGCTGAACATCACCTGCTTGTAGAGGCTTCACTTGAGCAAGTAACCAAAACTAATCCATCCCCTTCGTTTTTTTAGATTCATTTCTTTTAAAAATCTAAGTGTAAGCTCAATGGTGGTGGCACATACATTTAATCCCAGGAAGGCAGAGGCAGGTGGATCTCTGTGAGTGTGAGGCCACTTAGCTGTTCTGAGACAGCTAAGGTCACACCAAGAAACCCTATCTGGAATCGATGGATATATAGGTATATGTATGTATGTATGTATGTATGTATGTATGTATGTATATATATATATAGAGAGAGAGAGAGAAATTAAGTGTGTGTGTGTGTGTAAGTTTTGCAAGTTTTGCCTATATGTATGTGCACAGTGTGTGTACCTGGTGCCTCCAGAGGCCTGAAGAGGGTATCACATCCCCTCACAGCGATTTGCGGATGTTTGTGAGCCACTATGTAGGCGCTCAGGATCAAACCCAGGTCTTCTGGGAAAGCAGCCTCTCCAATGCTTCTTAAACTTTTCATCACCATCACCAATCATCATCAGTTATTAGTAGCGTGTGTGCATGCATGCCTGTGCGAGCCTGCACACACACATACGTGTGTTTGTGTGTGTGTGTGTTTGTGTGTGTGTGTGTGTGATTAGGGAGCATTCCATGGCAAGCATGTGGAGGTCAGAGAACAACCTTGTCTATCTGCTTCTCTCATTCCACCTTTGTCTGGGTTCTGGCGATCACAATCAGGTCAACAGGCTTTGCAACAAACAGGCACTCATAATTGCTGAATCATCTCACCTGCCCAGTTTTGCCTTCTTGTCTCAGGCAGTCCAGGCTGGCCTCCAACTCACTATGTATCTGAAAACAACCTTGAGTTTTGAATCCCACTGCTTTCATCTCCTAGGCTCTTAGGTTACAAGCATGTCATGCCTGGCCACAATATTATACGCTGGGGATGGAACACAGTCTCTCACACTGGGCAAATATCTACCAATAAGCTTAACTCGAAAGCCCCAAAGAGCTTTAGAAGGACTTAATTTGTAGCTTCTGAGGTTATCCGTTTGTGATGGATGCCTGAACAAGAGTATGATGTAACCTTTCTCAGCAGACTAGCCCTCTCCCTGCCTTTAAGGCCCTCCATTACCAGCCCTCTGAGTCAGCACCAAGGACAAGGTCAGTCGGGCGCTGTCCGCGGTTCTGAGACTGTGCTCCCTCCCAGTGGGTCAGTAAGCTTCAAGGTTGTTTGTGAGTTTTGCAAACAGCCCTGGTCAGTAAAGATTGAGGCTCTACAGTCAAGTGATTCTTCTCATGGCTGTTTTTCCCGTGGCTAGTGACCTGCCCCTCTACCTCCTGGAACACCTCCTCCTTCTCCGTCTGCTCTTCATTCACTGAGTTCCAGTCACACAGTCGTCCTTGTTTATTCCTTCTGGAGATGCCAGGCATGGGTCTTGCCTCAGAACCTTTGCACTTTCTGTCTTGTTTACCTAGGGTTCTTATTGTCACACACTCCCCCAGTCTCTCCAGGTGTTCAGGTGACTCTCTTACTGCTACACATCTATCTCCAGATGTTCATGTGACTCTCTTACTCTACACATCTACCCTATCTCCAGATGTTCACGTGACTCTTACTCTACACATCTACCCTATCTCCAGATGTTCACGTGACTCTTATTCTACACACCTACCCTATCTCCAGATGTTCATGATTCTTTTTCTTCACATCTCGCCTATGTTGTCTTTTTCTCAGTGGACTCCCAGAAAACTCTTTATAGCCTCTGTCTCCATTCAGAATTCTCTCATACACACTTTCTCCTTTGTTGCTGATGTAGCCCAGGCTGGCTTCCAACCGGCTGTGTATCTAAGGATGGCCTTGGATTCCTCATCTTCCTGCTCCTCTACCTCCCAAGTACTGAGGTCACAGGCATGTGCCACTAGGATTAGGCACTCACTCACTCTGAAAATGTTTCATTATCTCTATTTAATGATGGGGAGGTGACTCTGTGCTAAGATCAAAGGACAGTTGCATGAGTTGGTTCTTGCTTTCCACCCTGTGGTTCTAGAGCAACAAACTCAGGTTTGACTGCAAGCACCTTTGCCCAGTGATCCATCTCTCCAGCCCTCCAATTTTTTTATTTTTTCTTAATATTTTTTATGGTTTAACTTTATTTTATGTACATTGGTGTGAAGGTGTCAGATCCCCTGCAACTGGATCTTCAGACAGTTGTGAGCTGCCCATGTGGGTGCTGGGAATTGAACCCGGGTCCTCTGGAAGAGCAGTCAGTGCTCTTAACCACTGAGCCATCTCTCCAGCCCCCTCCAATTTTTTAAACTTAAAAAACATCTTTAATTTTGTGTGTGATTGCATGTATGTATTATGCCATGTGAGTGTGGGTGCACTCGGAGACAGAAGACAGAATCAGCCCCCTGTGAGACAGCCTACGTGAGTGCTGGGACAGAACTTCACTCAGCCTTGTCTCCAGCCCCCTTTTAAAATTGTGATTGTTTTAATTATTATTATTTCAGAGGGAGGGAGACAGAGAGGATGTTCCAAGCCATACATGTGAAGCTCTCCATGGTTTGTCTTCTCCTCCAACCCTGGGTTTTAGGGATGGAACTCAGGTTGTCAGAAGCTGAGAAAAGTGTGTTCGCCTGCTGAGCTAGCTCACTGGCCTTCGCTCCTTGATTCTTACATCATATCCCTGGCTTGAGTTTTCTGCTGATCAAATATCAATATCTAACATACCAGAGGTCTAAAACGCAGATACACCTGCAATCCCAACACTCAGGAAGCTGAGGGAGGATGGTCATAGGCTACATAAAATCACAGAAATCTCAAGCCTTTTCTTAAATCTGTGAACCTAGAGTTTGGAATTATAGGGTTCCATAGTTGAGACTTTGGGGGCTGTGTGTGACAGGGTCCCAGGTAACCCAAACTGATCTCCAAATTACATTGTCGCCAAAAACGATCTTGAATTCCAGATCCCCCTGCCTCCACCTCCCCCGTGTTTGACTACAGGCACAGGCCACTACACCCAGTGTATGAGAGTCTGAGGATGGTTGGTTAGGCAAGGCCTCTTTCAGCCACCCCACATCCCTAGCCCTGATCCAGGATTCTGATTAATGTTTCTGGCCCCACGACCATACTGCCTCTCCACACTTGTCCTTAGATCCACTGCAACAACTCACCCACACCCTATTCACAGCCGCCTAGAGCCAGTGTTACAGTCTCCCCATCTTCCAGCACTCGGGGGAGGCGGGCACTGAGCCAAACTTCTGTTACAAACAGGTCTTTATTAAAGATGAGGAAGGAGGCAGGGAGGGGGGACAGTGTCTCATCTGCCCACTGCCTTTGGCTATTCGGGGTAGGAGAACCCCCTCCTGTTTCACCCATGCCCCACAAGATGGTACATCTGCATGAGGCTGAGGCATAGGGGGTCCCTATGAAGAAGGGTGGGTCCCAAGAAAATAAAGTATTTTTCCACAGCCCTAATAAATAATAGAAGGTTTGGGGGTGCCCTGGGCACAGCCAAGGGGAGACAGCACCCGAAACTCCAAAACCAGTGAACTGGGGCAAGCCCTACTTAAGTAGAGTTGGGTGCACCTGGGAGAGAAGCTAGAAGGGTAGGGGTGCCGCAGGATCCAGTTATGGGGGAGCCTGCCCCTCACCCTCCAGCTGGGAGAGTCTCCTTGGCTTTGACTTGGTTTTGACACGGGCGGTCCCCCATTGATTGGAATCATTCCCACCCACTCTTGGCAATTCTGAAAGCCAAGGGCTCCTATTGGCTGTACAAGACACTGAACGTTGGCGGGAGTTGCCCTCTTGCTTGAGAAAGCTAAGAAGTGAGAGGTTCCCGTTGGTTGGAGTAAACTTTTAGGTTGAATTCTGAGAACTAGGAGCCAGGCAATGGCCGATTAGGTCAAACGTCAGCCGTTAAAAGGGCAGTCCTAGGGACATGAGCCCACCTGGTCTGTTTTTTGCTTACCCGGATGTCCCAGAAGGCCAAAGAGCAGTCAAGAGACCCCCAACCCCACCCCAAAGTGTCCTTCCAGCCATCTTCTGACGCTGAGCCAGGCTGGTTTGGGGGTCAGGGTCCTTTAGCACTCACGTGGCACACGTACGCGTGGCAGGGACACTGGGCATATTTTAGGTGGTGGGTCTCACAGCAGGTGGTCGCGGCTGGCAAACAGATAAGGGCTGAAGTTGTCGCGGTGGAACGGGGAAGGATGGAGCCCACTGAGGGTGTACAGGTCCCGTAGCAGGGGCGTGGGCAGCAGCAGCTTCCTGCCACGTCCACCTCCCCCGCCTGGGCCCCCGGGTCCAGGGGACGAAGGCGAGGGACCCTGGCTGGGAGTCGGTGCGGGCAGGGGCATCGGCAGCGGCAGGGGTGTTGGCTCAGACCTCAGTCGAGGGCGGGGCACACGGGGTGAGGAGCACATGGCTGGGGCCCTGGAGGACACACAGCTGGGAATCAGGTGGCCACGGCGGGCACAGTTCTGCGGCTCTAGAGGTGACATTCGGAGATGAAGAGGTTAGCAAACTGGTAGAGTGGCACAGAAGCCCAGGTGAGACCTCTGCCCACCTGGAAGAGCCCCCTCTTCATCGCCCCCGCTTCCTCAACACTTACTGGATGGGGTGAGCCGTGCCGGTGTCGAATGCGGCCTGCAGGTCTCGGGTTCCTGAGACAAAAACGAAGAGGGAAGGGGCTAGAGGACCCCAGGACCCCCCAACTCACAATCAAAAAGGGCTCCTCAGCCAGACGCCCCCATGGAATCCGCACCAGAGATCTCCGGATTAACGATGCAATTTGGGAGGGAGAGGGTAGTGTAGCCTTTCACTCCGGAAGGCTGCTTTCCTCCTAGGACTTCATCCCCAGAGCTGGATGACTCCCTCTCCTCCTACCCCAAGAGGAGGATCCTTATCGCCCGATTTCCTACTTCCCTGTGTCTCCTCCACCCACCACCCTCTCCAGCCCGGAGCAGCTCCCGGGCCCCCTTACCTGGGCCACACTTAACTTTTCGAGGGGGCTGTCCATAGTTGGGGCCTGGCTCAGGTCCTCCCAGGGAGAGAGCCTTCGACCAATGGGGGGTCGGCTCTGGAAGTTGTGCACAACACAGGTGACCTAGGCCAGAGAGATAGAAGCGTGTGCGTGTTGAGGCCCGAGACCAACAACACAAGAATTATAAAAAATTTTTCAAATAGAAACTGAGGTTAGGATTTCCAAGCGCATATAGCTGCCTTTCTTTACAATTTTACTATTTATTTATTTATTTATTTATTTATTTATTTATTTATTTATTTATTTATAGGGTCTCGCTATGGCTGTCCTGAAATTCTCTGTGTAAACCTGGCTGACCTTGAACTCGACAGAGATTCACCTGCACCTCCTCCGAAGTGCTGGCACCAGGCATGCACCACCATGCCTGCCCTGGCCGCATTTATAGGCATGATATTTGGTATATTACAGTTATTTGGCATGAATATTGGTTCTTAAAGTTTTTGAGATTTATTTTATTTTCTGTCTATGAGTGTTTTGCATGCATATCTGTGCACTTGCATACTTGGTGTCCATGGAAGTCAGAAGAGGGCATTGGACCCCATGGAACTGGGGCTACAGGTGGTTGTGAGCCACCATGTGGGTGCTGGGAACTGAACCCAGGTCCTCTGCAGGAGGGTCAGTGCTCCTACATGCTGAGCCATCTCTGCAGCCCTGAATATAGATATTTCAATGTTTCAGAAAGTAGTATTACTTTTTATTTTAACTACTCACTTTGTGGGGATCACCCACAGCATTTGTAGAGGTCAGGGGAAAACTTTAGGGAGTTAGTTCCTTTGCCAGATGAGACCTGGGATGGAATTTACTCTTAGGCAATTATGCAGTTGTCTTCACCTGATGAGCTTCCTCCCTAGCCTTTCCCCAATGTTCCAGGAAGAGCTGAGTTTTGGCTCGCTCCATAGAATGCTCGCCTAGCATGCAGGAAGTCCTGCGTTTCATCCCCACAAAATCAAGGCATTGGTGGGGCATGACTGGAATCCAGCACTAGGATGACAAGGCAGGAGAAGGCAGGAGGATCACAAGTACAAGGTTATGTTTGGCTAGACAGCCAGTTCAAGGATAGCCTGAGCTACGTGAGATCCTGTCTAAAAAAAAAAAAAAAAAAGGCTTGCCAGGAGTGGTGGCACACAACCTTAGAAAGGCAGAAGTAGTCACATCTCTATGAGTTCAAGGCCAGCTGCTGGTCTACACTGTGCATTGCAAGCAAGTCAGGGTTGCACAGTGAGACTCCGTGCCCCCCCTCCCCAAAAATAAAGAAAAAAGAAAAAAGAAAAGAAAAGATGTTTTATTAATTCACTATATAGCCCTGGCTGGGCCTGGAACTCACTATGTAAACCAAACTGCCCTCAAACTCAAGAAATCTGCCTGTTTTTGCTACCCAAGTGCTGAGACTAGAGGAATGTGCCACCGTGCCTGGTCAAAATTTTCTCTTTTTTTTTTTTTTTTTTGTTTTTTTTTTTTTTTTTTTTTTTTTTTTTTTGAGACAGGGTTTCTCTATATAACAGCCCTGGCTGTCCTGGAACTCAACTTTATCAACCAGGCTGACCTCAAACTCACTGAGATCCACCTGCCTCTGCCTTCCAAGTGCTGGGATTAAACGTGTGCACCACCACTGCTCAGCCAAAATATTCTTTAAAAATATATTTAAGGGTCTGGGAAAGTGGCTCAGTGTTTAAAAGCAGTGGCACACACACACACACATTTAATGCAGGCAAAACTACACAAATCTTTAAAATATATGTGCATTTTTAAATGCATGGGTGGTGTGCATGTTTGTGTATACTCAGGTGCATGTTTGAGGGTGGGTGGGTGCGTGTATACTTGTTTGCACATGAGGGTGTGTTCTGCTGTGGAGGTCACAGGTTGGTGTGTGTGAAAGGCAGGGTCAGTCTCTGATGTCACTCCTCCGGAGTGGTCCACCTTGCTTTTTGAGACTGAGCATCCCATGGCCTGTAGCCCCCAGATTAGGCTAGACTGGCTGACCAGTGAACCCCAAGAGTCTGTCTCCCTGGTGCTGAGATGTCAAGCACACCACTTCTGGCTTTTACATGGGTGCCGGAGACCTGAACTCAAACCCTCATGCTTGGCAAAGCAAGCGCTTTACCAATGGCGCCATGTTCCCCTGTAAAATAGTATTTATTTCAGTTGCAGAGTGTGGTGGCATCGCTTTAAATTTTGCTCACCATGGCATGAACCGGTCGGCCCATTCTAGGATGAGAACAAGCAAGCAGACAGGGTGAAAGTAAAGGACACCTGCCCTTCCCAGGCACGCAGACTCTGTATACCCTTCAGCATCACTGAGCAATTAGGCCTCTTGGGTGAGGGATGAGCACAGAGACGACTCACCAGAAAGGTGGCGATGGCGGCCCCAGTCAGAAAGCCTGCCAGCACGTCCGACCAATGGTTGCGATACTCTGCCACGCGGACCACGCCCACGAGGAAAGCGGGGCACAGCAGGGCCAGGCAGAGAGAAGGTTTCACCAGGCGGGAGCCCTTCACGCGGAACACTAGGGTCACGTACATCTGTGGGACCCAAACTGATCAGATGATGAACCCACGCTTTTCGGGTCAGAGCAATGGAGGCTTGAGGAATGGCTTGAGGGACTGGGATGGCAGGGGAGGGATTCCAAGGGTCCCAGGGGTCCTGCATGCAGGTAGTGTGGTCAGAGCACCAAAAATCACAGATAAGGGTCTATGTTCTATGCACACAGAACCAAGGAGCAGAATCGGGGTCTAAGGGGCAGATCCGGGAGCTCCAGAGGTAGCCTCGGAGCCTTGTGTAACACAGAAGTGGTCAGGATGGGACATATCAACCATTTCAGAGGCCAGAAAAAAGGAAAGAAATCAAAGTAATAGAACAAAGGACTAGAGAAAGGCAACGGACAGAATTATAGAGTTAGGGGCGTGACCAAAGTAACAAAGGGGAGGGGCGAGGGCTCCAGAAGGCGGAGCCAAAGGCCACAAACTTAGTTTCCTAGCCACTATCCAGGGCCTGCGTCTCTTAGCAACTCCAAGGGGCTGAGTCCCAAAAGGCAACATCCAGGACAACTGGGGAGCAGTCAGGGTTCTAAGGCTGGGATGCACCACGAGGGTGTGTGGCTTCATGAAGGATCCAAATCAGTGGGCGTGGCCTCACTCCCAAAGCTCTTCCCCCCTCTGTCAAGCACCCCCACCCACCAACTCTAGACCCTTGGTTTCTCCCGCCAGGGGCTCACCGCAGTGTAGGTGACCGCGTAGGCGCACAGGGCCGCGTCCTTGCAGGGGAAGGCGCGGCGTGCAGCGGCCACCAGGCTGGGGCTGCCTGCACAGGCGCTCTGGTCCGTGACGAAGCGGTCAGGCCCTGGCCGGTCAGGAGACGGTGGTGGGCAGCCCAAGGCCGTGTAGTTGGGGCGACACACAGACAGGAAGTGAGGCGTGGGGTTACCGGTCACCACCTGTCCCGCATTTGCAAAGATGGTCGTGGTGAAGAGGCCAAAAGAGTACACTCCTGGCGATTGGGAGAAAAGAGGTCATATCCCTTCAACTGGGTGCCCCATACAGTTCCATTAAGCCCCCTTGGTTATGTCTAAAATTAATTTTTATGCTGGTGGCGCACGCCTTTAGTCCCAGCGCTCAGGAGGCAGAGGCAAGCGGATCTTTTGAGTTCGAGGCAGACCTGGTCTACAAAGTGAGTTCCAGGATAGCCAGAAACTACACAGAGAAAGTCTTTTTACATTTTTTTTTATATTTACATGTAAAAAAACCCAGTTTTTACATTTACTTATTTGGGTTTTATTTATTGTGTAGACACTGCTATGCTTTGTGTGGAAGTCGGAGGATAGCCTGAGGCATTTAGTTCTTTTCTTCTGCCACACAGATTCTGGAATTCAGGTAGCAGGCTTGGCAGCAGCACCTTTGCCCACTAGCAATTGCTGGTCTCCATTGTCTTGCTATTCTTAGGATGGCCACTAAAGTCAGTGTGGGATCCGATGATAACTGGGCTGCAGTCCTCTTATCTTTGGGCCCCTCCCTATAGTAGATATAGATATATATCCACTGTCTGTCTCTAAGAAATCAACTGTGGCAGGACAAGCCCCTTGACTCCATCCCCGCTACCCTGGTACGGCTCAACACGACTGTATCAGGAGTTTGGGAACTCCAAGGAAGATCCTATGGAAATGTCTGGGATTCCTCCTCTCTGTGCTCTTCTCTTCCTCTTATATTTCTTAAGAATTACAGCGGGGCGATGGTGGCGCACGCCTTTAATCCCAGCACTCGGGAGGCAGAGGCAGGTGGATCTCTGTGAGTTCGAGACCAGCTTGGTCTACAGAGCTAGTTCCAGGACAGGCTCCAAAGCCACAGAGAAACCCTGTCTCAAAAAAACAAAAAAACAAAAAAACAAAAAAAAAAGAATTACATTTATTTTGGGTTGGAGAGATGGCTCAGCAGTTAAGAGCACCGGCTGCTCTTCCAGAGGACCCAGATTCAATTCCCAGCACCCACTGCTCACACCTGCCTGCAACTCCAGTTCCAGGGGTCTGACACCCTCACAAACACACATTTCTTTGTTTCTGTGTGCCCAGGTGCATGGAGATCAGAGGATAACTTGTGACAGACTTTTCTGTCTGTCCTTCTAGCATATAGGTCCTAGGGATTGAACTCAAGTCATTAGACTTGGTAGCAGACATAGTAATTTTACCCATGACCCCCCTGACCCAGCATGCCTCCCCCAACTCAGGCAGAGTCTAGCTATGTAACCCTGACTGGCCTTAAGTTTGCTATATAGACTAGGCTGGCTTGGAACTTAAAAAAAAAGACTTGCTTATTATTTTTATTTATGTGTATGTATGCATGCCTTCATGAGTTTATATGTACCACATGGATGCAGGACCAGTGGAGCCAGAGGGTGTCAGATCCCCTGGAGCTAGAATCACAGGCAGCTATGGATTGCCTGCTGTGGGTGCAGGGACAAGAACCATGGTCCCCTGCAAGAGCAGCAAGCATTTTCAACCACTAAGACATCTCCCTAGCCCGTCCCTGACCAGAACTTTTGAGAGTTCAGATTATAGGAATGTGCCAGCCCACACAGCTTTTTTTTTTTTTTAAAGATATTGACTCACTCTGAGGCCCAGGCTAGCTTTCAGACTTGCGATCTTCCTAACACAGCCTCCAAGTCCTAGGATTTTAGATGTGACAAGCACACGGGCTTGCATTCTTCATGTGACAACCTCAGGTGTCAGTCTTCTGACACCTTCACATTTGGAGACAGAGCTTCTCACAGGCTTAAAACTTTGCCAAAAGGCACACCAGGTGGCCCAAACCTTCCAGGGACCCACCAGTCTCCACCTCCCATCTTACTGTCTCTGGGACAAGCAATGTGTGCCACCCCGGCTCTTAAAAAAGATTTTCTTGGGCTGGAGAGATGGCTCAGCAGTTAAGAGCATTGGTTACTCTTCCAGAGGACCGGGTTCAATTCCTGGTCCCCACATGGCAGCTCACAACTGTCTGTAATTCCAAACATTATCATACAGACATACATGCAGGCAAAACACCAATGTACATAAAATAAAAATAATAAATTATATTTTAAAAAAATCTGGGCAGTGGTGGCAAACACCTTTAATGCCAGCACTTGAGAAGTAGAGGCAGGTGGATCTCTGTGAGTTCAAGGCCAGCCTGGTCTAGAAAGTGAGTTCCAGAACAGCCAGGGCTACACAGAGAAACCCTGTCTCATATTTATATGATTTTCTTTTATTCATGTGTGTGCGTGTCTGTGTCTCTGTGTGTGCATTAATGTACCCATGTATATGCACTTGCATGAATGTGTCTATGTATGTATGCATGCCTGTGTCTATAGGTAATGTATGTCTTTGTATGTATGCCTGTATCTGTGTGTGGATACATGCATGTATCTATGTGTGTGTTTGTGAATGCATCTCTATGTGTGTGTATGCCTGTATTATATATGTGTGTCCATGCGTATGTATGCATGTGCTTGCCACATCTTGAGTGTAGTAAGAGGACAACTCAGGAATCAATTCTCTCCTTTGACCATATGGATAACCAAACTCATGTCAAGCTTGGCAGCAAGCGCCTATACCCACTGAGCCATAAGATGGAATTGTTCCTTTGACCCTGAACTCACCACCCTCCCCAATACCATTGGACTAACCCCAGGCTGCATCTCTCACCCAGGAAACGGACCAGCCTCCGAAGTGGGGGACTGAAGCGGCAGCAGGCCCCGGACACGATGGTGCTCTCCCCACTGACAGGACTGGCGGAGGGGGGAGCAGGAAAGAAGGCACGTGCCAACTCCCCCAGCAGGATCTGTGGACAAGACCAAGATGGAGGTCTTCCTGGCCTCAAAGGCCAGGGCTCCCCCAGCCCCAACCTGGCCTTCCTGACTTCTGGGAGTTTCCCTGGCATCCAACCTGGGTGGCCCACACTATCTCACCGTGAGAGTGGGCCCAGCAGTGACCAGAGCATAGATGAGGGCAGGAGGTGCTCGGCTGGCAGCCTCAGGCCCGGGGTACGGCTTGGCATAAGCGCTGTCATAGCAGAAGAAGCCCTGGGTGTGCACAGGGAAGGTGTCCGTGAATTCCAGGCGGTACGCAAGCAGGACCACAATGCCCAGCAACACAGACTGCAGCGGGTCAGGGCCAGAGAGAGGCAAAGAGAAACAGGAGGAGGTCAGAGGCCATGAGGCCATGGAGAGAGAGAGAGAGAGAGAGAGAGAGAGAGAGAGAGAGAGAGAGAGAGAGAGAGAGAGAAAGAGAGACAAGAGGAGAGGACAGAAGGGAGACATTCTTACTTCCCAACAACTGGAGCTATCATTCTGTTTTCTCTTTTTCTGATGCATTTTGGTTTTGTTCTGTTTTGTCTTGCATTTTTTTTCCCGAGGCAAGGCCTCAAGCAACCCAGGATGACTGACAACTCACTATGGAATTGAGGATAACTCCTGCCTGGTACTGGGGTTGTAGGTGTAGGTCAGTACACCTTGTCTATTCGGTGCCAGGGATGGAGCTCAGGGCTTTGTGCCAGCTAGGCAAGTTTCTACAAATTGAGCCACAGCCTCCATCCATCTTTTATTTATCTATATACTTACTATTTTTTAAGATGGTCTCTTTATGTATCTCAGGCTGGAATAGAAACCATAAACTTTTTTGTTATTTTTGTTTTGAGACAGGGTTTTCCTATGTATGTAGCTCTGGATGTCCTGGGATTCATTCCTGCCTCTGCCTCCTGAGTGCTGGGATTAAAGGTGCAGCCACCACCTTCTGGTTTGTTTGCTTTGAAACAGGATCTCACTCCACAGTCCTGGCTGGCCTGGAAGTTACCGTGTATATGGAATGGACTTGAATTTGTAGGCGTTCTCCTGCCTCTGCCTCCTGAATGTTAGGATTATAAGTATGCATCACAGTGGCTGTGCCTTGTGATTTCTTTTCTCTGTCTGTCTTAATCATTTCTTGAGACAGTCTTATGTAGACTAGGCTGGCCCTGACTTTCCTGAATGCTTCTCCTTCAGCCTCCTAAAAGCTGAGGTGTGTGTCACATATGTGCCACTATGCCCTGCTGACTATGCTCATTTTAGATGAAGTAACTGGGGCTCAGGCAGGCAAAGTCCCAAAGTGTGAATGGATTAGGGCTGAATGGGGCTGGAATTCAGAAACGCTTCTGAGCCCAACCCTGTCACCACATCTCAAGAGAAAGGGGGCAGCAGCTAAAGCTCTGGGGGAGTGGGGTATGAAAGGGGGGGGGGGGGGGGGGGGAGAGAGAGAGAGAGAGAGAGAGAGAGAGAGAGAGAGAGAGAGAGAGAGAGAGAGAGAGAGAGAGAAAACTGGGCTGGAGTCAGGGAGTTTGGGAAAATGAGCGTGGTTAAGGGTTGGGCCAGGAACAGGGAGACAGGCTGGACAGGGATAAAGGGATGAAACACGGATCAGGCACCCTCTCAGAGTGGCTCTGAAGTCCTCACCTCCACGAAGACGAAGCAGGGGATGATGGAGAAACTCCGCTTCAGGTGAGGTCTCCCTCCAGCCATGGTGAAGGCTGGGCCTGTGGAGGAGGAGGGAGTGGGAACTCTAGGGGCACAGGAGTACATAAGGCTTCATGGAGTTCGGAGTCTGCTCTTTAACCCGTTTCCCACCCTGCTGGGCCGGCCTCTGCCCACTGGACATCCCTGCTCCTCCTAACAGCAAGCTCTGGTCTACCAGAGACCTAAGACTTTTTTTAAAGTTACATGTATTATTTTGCTTGTGTACATGGGGGCCCCAACATTTGTGTGGAGGTCAGAGGGCAACCTGCAGGAGTTGATACAAAAGATTCTACAGTGGTCTCTTCTCTCTCCTTTCTATAAAATTCTAATCAGACCCCATGCCTTTTAGGGGGACCCTTAGTCAATCTTTAGAGGAGACACCTCCAGCTTTAAAGAAGGGTGCCCTTCTCTTTGGTACCAACCTTAATCATATTTTAGGGAATTTCATCTTCTTTTTCCAGGAGATCCAATGCTTCCTGCCCTCTCCCACCAGGCCCTTTCTCCTAGGCCCTTCCACCATAGCCTCCATATGGAGCCCCTACCCCACTCCCACCCCCATGATCTGTGGTGCAGGCTGATAGCCAGACCCTCCCTCTCTCCCAGCTGCCTTTCCCTCCCCCCTCATCCTGTCAGTCCAGCTGCCTCCCTCAGTCTCCTCTCGCCAACCCCCTTCATCTGACTTCAGTCCTCAAGGGACTTCTACACACAGTGACACCTGCTCTCACCTGTGAAGGTACCCTAGGGCTTCCCACAGGCCTCCACCTCGACCACCACCAGCTCACAGCCACTCCTGGAGGCCAGCAGGGCGAGGACACTCATCTCCATTGTACGGATGTGGAAACTGAGGCCCAGGAAGGTGAGGGTAGGCTCTGTGTGTCCAGGGCTCCATTGAGGCCTACTCCACAGAGTGACATATTGGAGACAGAGTCACCACAGGTTCCAGAAGTACAGTGACTCTCATGGGTACTCCCACAAGATACAGCCCAGTCAGGGCTCCCATCCCAGACTCTAGAGACAGGGACACCTCAGAAGATGACATTCCTCTAATCCACAGCAAGATCCAAGCACACTGTGTGGGGTGCCTGTCTCATGCTGAGCAAACCAGGTTTGCTCATTCACACAAGTCCCCAGTACTCTTAAACACACACACATACACACACACACAAACACACACACACACAGGAGATTTTGCATATGGCCTGTCATAGACACCCACACGGATAGAACATACCCCCTCAAGCACACAGTCAGAGAGACATCCCAGCCCCCTACAAGCCCTTACCCTGACACAGTCACCACCATAGACTCAAGGTTGCCAACACACTTCAGAGTCAGAGCGGAGTCACTCCACCCAATGAGAGTCACAGAATGGGTCACAGAGTCACACCCCCAGTTACAAGGCACTCAATGACAGTCACGCACACAAACACCCCCTCCAGTCATAGACAGTGTGCCATCCACAGTCTCAGCCACATGGTCAGGCAGGGGTGTATGTGCCACACACATACAAAGGGCATGTAAGATCAGACACCTGCCAGATTGCAAAACAGGCACGCACACCATCAGAAAGAACACAACAGTAACCACAAAATGACAGCCAGATCACACAACTAGACACCTAGACACACACACAGTGCAAGCAGTCATACAGACATCCTAAAGAAGCCAGTGCGTTCCGTGTCTCGTTCTCTCTCTCTCTCTCTCTCTCTCTCTCTCTCTCTCTCTCTCTCTCTCTCTCTCTCTCACACACACACACACACACACACACATCAGCGGACACACCCGAATCCATCACTGCCAGAGAACCACACAACCAGTTACACAATCAACCACACACCAACACGGGGCAGCCACACCATTATTCACCCACAGCCACCCTCGCAGCATTGTGACCTGACTCCTGAGGTCTCTGGGGTTCCCCTCTCCAGGTTCCCCTCCCCCAACCCCATCCAAAGCCCAAGATCACCGCCTCCCCACTCTCTAGCTACCCTTCCCCCAAAATGGACCCGCAGGGAACGTATCTGAGAGACCCAAGTCCCCGGTCTGGACCTCCGTGTCCGGCCTGGGCAGCCCCCGGGCTGGGAAGAAGAGGCGCCCACGCTCCTCCCTCACCCTGTTTAGGCCGCCGCCGCCTGAGCCCCCACTCAGTCTAGACGGTACCGGCGCCGCAGGACAGTCAGACAGACCGCTGATCGGGCAGGCGGACACAGGCAGAGATAAGTCTGGACCGCCGGGCTTGCAGCTCCGCGCAGACTCCGTGGACGAGGCAGGGGCGGGGCCACAGAGAGCCTTATTTGCATAATCCAATGAGGCGGGGAACGGGATGTTCATTTGCATAGCCCATGGGGGCGGGCCACAGCGCCGTATTTTCAGGAGGGCGGAGACATTGGTCCCTTCATTTGCATAACACTGTGGGCGGGGCTATAGATCATTCATTTGCATAACTAAAAGAGGCAGGCAGGACGTGATGGCCGACATTGGAAAAGAATGGAGAAAGAGGTGGGTGGGGTAGACTGAGGGACGAGAAGAACTCAGTCTCTTCGATGGACACTCAATACCATGCTTCTCCCCATCTGGGCACCGAGATCCAGAAAGGAAGACTCTATCTGGATAACCAGGTCCATTTTCGAGCTTGTGACAGGGTCTAAAGCAGCCCAAGCTGGTCTCCAGTTCTCTTTGCAGTTAAGGCTGGCTTTGAGCTTTGTATCCTCCTGCCTTCATCTCCTAGGGTGCCATAATTTCAGGCCTGTTCCACCAACATCTGGAGTGGGAACCCAAGGCTTCCTATACGCTAAACAAGCACTATCCTGATTTTGTGTTTTTAAATTTAAATTACACTTATTTATTGGGGTGTGCGCCATGTTTTGCGTGTATTTAGAGGTTGGAGGACAACGCGCATGAGTCGGTTCTCTCCTACCATTGGTGGGGACCTGGGATCACACTCAGGTCTTCAGGCCATTTGGCATGCCCATGGCTGTGTTTTTCTCTAGCATAGGCTGGGCTCAGGCTTGCTGTGTTAACTTTGAGCTGATATGCCTACGACTATCTACCTACCAAGCGCTGGATTACACGCCCAACTGACACACCCTAAATCTTGTCTCAATGTCCTAACTAGACCCACACGTCCTCAAAAGTGCCCCGGTCTCTGCATCCTTTGAGAAACCAAGGAGTTAGCTGAGGGTGGCATAGGGAGGACCCCAGACTCTTAAAGCAGCAGATGCAAAAGTCCAGGCTGGAGGAAGGAAGGTCTCAGCTAGTTTATTGTCTCTCTGGAGGAGTCTTCAGGGCAAGCAGTCCCAGCTGCTCAAGCTATGGGGAGAGAAGGCAGGTCACAGTCTGCTTTAACCAGAACTCAGGTGGCCAGCCAAGGACCAGAAGCCCAGACAGAGTGCCAGCCTCAAGGCCTACACTGTGGGAATCACAAGGGGGCCAGATGTTAAGGGATGGAGAGGGGCTGAGGAGGGTCTGTACCGGGAGGGTGAGATCCACTCTTGCTGTAAGGTCTCTCCCAGTCAGAATCGGAGTCCCAAGAAGGATACTGAGAACTCGGGCACCGCTGTCCCTTGTGGCCTGTGGGAGAGACATGCCATTCTGGCCCTTCAGACACTGAATACAGCCCTCTAGCGACTTCACAACATGGACCCCGCACCCCTCAAGATGAAACCATACCTAGACTTATGATTGAGACACCCTCATCTCTTGTGTGACCCAAAGTAATACCAAATATCAGTGACCCTTTAAATGTTCCCTTAAAAAGATCCCATAAGAGGCCAGAGAGGTGGCTCAGAGGTTAAAAGTACTATTAGTTGCTCTTTCAGAGGACACAGGTTCAATTCCTAGCACCCATATATTGGCTCACAACCCTCTGTAACTCCAGTTCCAGAGGATCTGATGCCTTCTTCTGACCTCTGAGGGCACCAGGCAGGCAGGCAGGTGGTGCACAAATACATGCAAAATGCCCACACACATGAAATAAAATACGTCTTTAAAAAATTCCATAGAGCCTGGAATAATAGCATCTATCTGTAATCCGTGGGGAGCTGGAAGAAGGAGGATCAGGAGTTCAAGGTGCTCCTTGGATAAGTAGTGAGTTTAAGTTAGTCTGGGTTATGTGAGACCATATCTCAAAAAAAGATAATAAAAACAATAAGCTCACAGATCCTAAATGTGACCCCAGTCAGCTCCTACGTGACACATCCAGGGTTTATATAGCCCAGGCTTGCCTTGAGTTTGAGGTTCCCTTTCCCCTACTCATCAATTTCTAGGATTATAGGCCTTCAAAATCTCAACTAGTCTCTCAGCTACTCAGTGTAGCCTTAGAACAAGATGCCACGAAAGACACTTAAGGAAATGCTCAACATCCTAAGCCATCAGAGAAATGCAAATCAAAACAACTCTGAGATACCATCTTACACCTGTCAGAATGGCCAAGATCAGAAACTCTGATAACAGCTTATGCAGGAGATGATGTGGAGTAAGGGGAACACTCCTCCATTGCTGGTGGGAGTGCAAACTTGTATAGCCACTTTGGAAATCAGGATGGTGGTTTCTCAGAAAATTGGGAATCAATCTACCTCAAGACACAACAATACAACTCTTGGGCATATACCCAAAGGATGCTCAATCATACCCCAAGGACATTTGTTCAACTATGTTCATAGCAGTATTACTCATAATAGCCAGAATCTGAAGACAACCTAGATGCCTTTCAGCCAAAGAACAGATAGGGAAAAAATGGTAAATTTACACAATGCAGTACTATTCAGCAGCAGAAAACAATGACATATTGAAATTTGCAAGCAAATGGACTGAACTAGAAAAAGCCATCCTGAGTGAGGTAACCCAGAAAGACAGATATAATATGTACTCACTCGTAAGCAGATATTAGACATAAACAAAGGACAACCAGCTTACAGGCCTCAACCCCAGAGAAACTAGGTAACAAAGAGGACCCTAAGAGAGACATACATTGATCCTTCTAACAAGGGGAAAAAAGACAAGATCTCCTGAGTAAATTGGGAGAGTGAGGAGCAGTGAAGAGGGTGGAAGGGGAGAGGGGAGGAGAGGGGAGGAGAGGTGGGGAGAGAGGAAAAATGCATAGCACATTTCTATCCAAACAAATTGAGAAGAAAACCAAACAAAAATAAAACAAAGCAACAAAAAAAGAACAAGATCCCATCCGATGTGACCCTCAGAAGGCCTCTGAAGGTGGCCTCGCATATGTGAAGCTGGAAATGACTCTTCCCCCACACCCCATCACACTCAGCCCCTCACCCCTGAGACTGGAGGCCCTGGGCCTGGTGCCCATGGACAAGGCAAGGCAGTCGATGGAGCTCTGCAGGCTGTGGACAGCAGACCTGTATGGAGACAGAGAGACAAGGGCCCCAAGAGACACTGGGGTATCCAGGGTACCCCAGAATTGGAGCTAGGGCAAGGGAGGCTGTGGAGAGGGTGATTCCCAGGAGAAGGAGCGACGACTAGAACCAGATGCAGTTCCAGATGTGGTAGGGGGTGCAGATTAGAGGAGGGCTGGGGTCAGAGGTCAGACGGGAGGCTGGTCTCACCATATGTCACTCAGCTCCTTCTGTAAGTCATCCTTCCAGCCGCCATTGCCTTCTGCAGGCACAACCTCAGTTTCTGGCCACGAAGACGGTTCATATGCCTGCTGCTTCATCTTGGTCAGAACCTGAGGTTCGGGAGGGGTTGGAGGAGCAAGCAATTAGACACACAAGTAGTGATAGCCATAGAAAAAGGCAATCATGATGCAGCACTTTAGTCCCCAGCTGTAGTGAGAACACGGAACACTCGACGAACACAGTTTTCTGATTAAGGAGGGACCGCAGCTATTACACACATTATATGGAGAGGCGAATCGAGGCCCGGAAAGACAAAGTGATTTGCCCATAATAACAGCATTAAGACGGCAGAGCTGGAGGCCAAGTGTGGTAGCGCACATCTTTTAATTATTCCCAGCACTCGGGAGGCAGAGGCAGGCGAATCTCTGTGGGTTCGAGGCCAGCCTGGTCTACAGAGTGACTTTCGGAGCAGTCAAAGACACACCCTGCCTCAAAAATAAAAACAAATTAAAAAAAAAAAAGAAAAAAAAAGGAAGAGCTGGGATTTGGATTCTGCCTCCTAGATTCGGTCCAATTGTGGAAGCACGAGAAAGTTCCCATCCGCACCACGTCCTGCAGGCCCTCATCTTCTCTGCTCACCTTTCTGCATTTCACCTGCGTTTTCTGCATCTTCTGGATATTCAAGAGGTTCGCTGAGATCTCATCCTCCTGGGCCTCTGTTGGGGAGAGAGCTCAGTGGACAGAGGAAGCGGAGCCCCATCCCTTCCAGGCTGTGGGCTTCCAGGCACTCACGGAGCTTCTGATAGAGGAAAGTCACTTCTTCCCGCACGAGCTCCAGTTCCTCCCACAGGAACTTCTTGCTGAGAGGAGAGAGGAGCCTAGACCCACATTCCCAGCCCATTCTCCTGGAATACCACCTCCCGGTCTACCCAGCCGATTAACAGCACAGGCTCCTCCCACAACCCTAGCTCCCTCCTGGATATCAGGCTCCACCCATACCACCTGAGGTCCTGCCCACAACCTCAGAGTCTGTTCTCAGCGAGGGGTTACAGCCAGCCCCAGACTCCGCCCACAGCTCCAGGCATCTCTCACTGCCTACCTGGACCTTCCCTGCCTAGCTCTCTCCTGATTTCCACTCTCCAGCCTCTCCGCCTCCCTCAGTCTTCTGAGACGCTGCCTCCTTCCCCAACCCCCTTCCAGCTTGCTGTCTGCCACACCTTCTAGCAGCCTTCGACTCCCCAGGGGGCTCTCCCTAGCCACCTACGTCTTCCGAGCTCGTGTACCCCAAGCCTTCCACTCCCTGCTCCATTAAGCTCCCTCAATGGTGGCCTGCTCCACCCCGCCCTCTGGCCCACACCCACCTGTCCCGGATCTCCTGGGCCAACAACTGCAGGCAGCGAGTGGTACGGGCCCTTTGCAGCTCCTCCCCGTCCCTCAGTGTCTTCTGCAAACCCTGCAGGCCTTGGGCCAGGGCCCCATACAGCTCCTGCCGACCCTGTTCCGTGCCCCACTTACGGCCTTCCTTCTCTCCTTGGCGGCTTGTGGGGCCCAACACTTCTGTGGAGAGGGTGGAATACTCGACTTTATTATTGTGTGTTGATGTATGTGTACCTACATGTTCACGTGTTTGCACAGGTGTGTGCACAGGTACACAGACGTGGGGGGGGGTCCAAGGTCAACCTTGAGTATTGTCCTCAATTCTTCTCCACCTTATCTTTCGAGATGGGGTCTCTCACTGAACCTGGAACTCACAGCTTGGGGCAGACTGGCTGGCTTCTATAGAACTGGGATTACAAGTGTGCCCCACTAAGCCAGCTTCCCCCCCCCCAAACATTTGGAGATAAACTCCAGGTCCTCATGCCTAAATGGCAAGCATTTTAGTAACCGAGCCCCAGTCCTGGAACAACTTCAACAACAACTTCTTCTTCTTCTTCTTCTTCTTCTTCTTCTTCTTCTTCTTCTTCTTCTTCTTCTTCTTCTTCTTCTTCTTCGATTTATTTATTTACTATGTATACAGTGTTGTGCCTGCATGTCTCCCTGCAGGCCAGAAGATGACACCAGATCTCATTACAGGTTGTTGTGAGCCACTATGTGGTTGCTGGGAATTGAACTTAATACCTCGTGAGGAGCAGCCAGCGCTGAACCATCTCTCCAGCCCAACTTCTTTATTTTTTAAGAGTATATATTTCTGGGGCTGGAATGCATGCAGCCAGAATACTGAATACATAATAAATAAAAAAAGAAAATCTTTTTAAAAAAACATATATTTCTGCTGGGTGGTGATGGCACATACCTTTAAACCCAGCACTAAGGAGGCAAAGGCAGGTGGATCTCTGTGAGTATGAGGCCAGTCTGGTCTACCAAGTGAGTTCCAGGACAGCCAGAGCTAAACAGAGAAACTCTGTCTTGAACCCCCATCCCCCAAAAATGTCTTTCTATTTTACATGTTTGGTTTCATAGGTGTTTTAACTGGTGCCCATGGAGGTCAGAAGAGAGTGTTCTGTCCCCTGGAACTGACATTACAGAGGCTGTGAGCCATCATGTGGGAGCTGGGAACACAGCCTGAGCCTTCTGCAAAAGTAGCCAGTGCTCTTAACTGACAAGTCATCTCAGCTCTACGGCTCTGTCTCAGGCTGACTTTCACTCTCTTGGTGAGGGTGACCTTGAACTCCTAAACCTCCTGCTTCCATCTCCCAAGTGCTGGGATCACAGGCACGAACCACCAGGTCCAGTTTTATTCCATGCTGGAGGTAGAACCCAGGACTTCATGTGTGCTAGGCAGGTGCTGGGCCAACTGAGGCCCAGCAACCCCAAAAGGTGAGGAACCAGATGTGGGCGTGAGGCCAGCCTTCACTCCAGCTTCTCCTGACCCTGTCCTGACCTTGGTCTCCATCTGGTCCTCACCTTCAAGCTGCTGGATTTTGATCTGCTGCAGGCAGCTCTCCTTCTCCAGCATGGTCACAGAGTGGTTCAGGAACTCAAAGGCCTGAGGGGGCGGGAGCGAGAGGTAAGGCCCTGGAGTAGGGAGGAGGATGAGAACGGTTGCAGAGGAGGTAGAGGGACCCACCTTGGTCTGAGCCTGCAATTGGGTCCTGAGAGACTCTAGTTCACATCGCAAGAGCTTCTGAGAGTCGGGGACTAGCATAGTGTTCTTAACTGTGGGCAGAAGGAAAGTGAGTCATGGCTGAGGTAAGATCAGGGCAGAGATGGGGGCTCAGAGGAGGGAGAGGGGCATGTTTAAAGCAGGGTACCCCCTTGAAGCAGTTAATGAACATGGGCCTTGATACTGAAGAAGAAGAAAATGGGAGTAGGGGGCCTGCAAGATGGCTCTGTGGGTGAAGGAACTTGCCACCAAGACAGGTGACCTGAATTTGAACCCAGGAACCCACAGAGTAGGAGAGAACCAACTCTGCTAGGGTGTCCTCTGACCTTCAATGTGTGCCATCCACGGCACACACCCTCAAATACAGGAAGTAAATTTAAAAAAAGTAAAGAAAAAATGAAGTGGGACTAGAAACCCAAATGCCTCCCTCTGGGCTCACTCAGAAGAGAGCGTTCACCTTTTACTTTAGCAGAGCCAGACTCCAGGGACTTCTGGGAAAGAGGAGAAGAAGAAAGTGACGATGTATTCCCAGATTGCTCACCTCCAGACCGTTTGCCGGAAGGACAAGATTGGTTCTCTTGAGATCTGGCTATCCCTAACCAGGAATCAGGCAAAACTGTCCAGGGGTATTCATCCTCTGCCGTTCCCCCACCTTCATCATCTGCACATGCTCAGAAATGCACTTGTGTATCACTCATGTGTTTATGGGCCCCTGGCTTGACCCTGACAGAAAACAGATGCCAGGCTGTGCCTGGTTTGACCTTCCTACTTTGGAGTACAAGACAGCAACAACAGTGATGTCCCTAGAGGACACCTCAGCACTTGGCACACCACCACAAGCTGTTGCTAAACACAATCAGCCACAAGCACACAATTTTAGACACAAGTATGAATCTCTCACACACAATCAGAAACCATACAGATACAAAAAACAAACACATACACACACATACACACCTTCAAAATATGAAAGTCAGATATAGGGCTGGAGAGATGGCTCAGAGGTTAAGAGCACTGACTGCTCTTCCGGAGGTCCTGAGTTCAATTCCCAGCAACCACATGGTGGCTCACAACCATCTGTACTGAGATCTGGCACCCTCCTCTGGCGTGCGGGCATACATCGAGGCAGAATGTTGTATACATAATAAACAAATAAATCTTTTTTTAAAAAAAGTCAGATATAATATCTCCTTCCTATAATCATAGCATCCAGGAGATGGATGCAGAAGAAACAGGAGTCCAAATCCAGCTTTGGCTACAGAAAAAGTTCAGAGCCATCTTGGGCTACAAGAGATATTGTCTCAAAACAAACAAGCAAAGACCCACACATAGGTTTCCTTCTATTCCTCCCTCTAGAGGTGCTGAAACTCCATGCAGGCCCCTTCTGCGTAGCCCCTTCCCTGTGCTCCACAGTGAAACACAGCAAGTGCATTCATTCCTAGGTTAAGGAGAGTTGGGGGAGGGGGAAATGTGTGACCTTGGTTGTGTGGTTCCTCTTCACAAGGTCCCGGCCAGGACAAAGCTCCTTGAGCAGATCTGAGCTGGAACTGGAGGTACCCTCATGAGGACGACACTTGGAGTCCCACTCAGGGCCCCAGTCTACAGTCCTCGCTGCTTGTTCTGAAGCAGCATTCACGATCTCAGGCTCCCAGGTCCTAGACCAGCAGGTGGTACAGTCCAAATCCCTGTCTGAGGAGGACCCTAGGGGAAAAGGGACCAGTGACGGCAAGCTTGCAGTTGGCAGCCCTTCTCGGTCCTCTAGCTGTCTCCCAGGAACACCAGTACTTGCCCCTCTTGTCGTTGGCAGGCCAAGGTGTGACGGAGAGTGAAGGGGATGAGTAGAGATGAGAGACACAGTAGTCAGGGTCCCGGGGTAGGCCGGCCAAAAGAGGGTCGCTGTGGAAGGGAACGAGAGGGGCTCTCAGACACGTCTCCAACTCACATAGCCAAGGATGACGTTCAACTCCTGACCCTCCAGTTTCTACCTCCCTAGGGCTAGGATGACAGGCCCATGTCACTGCATCTATTTACGCATTGATAGAATGCATTTATGCAATGCTGGGGATAGAACCCAGCAGCGCCGCTAGGCAAGCGCTCCACCCACTGAGCCTCGGCCCCGCCTCCTCGCCCCTTTAGAGTGTCCCCTCAGAGATGTTTCAGCCCCGAAACTTCTGACAGAAGCAGAAGTCAGATAAAAGATAAATCCAGCCACAAAGGTGAGGGTGGGTTATGCGAACCCAGACATCCCACATAAAGACACTAAGGCCTTGAAGGGCTAGTGAGAGGACTCGGGGAGCAAAGTGCTTGCTGCCAAGCCTGCAACATGAATTGGTCTGCAGTAACCAAATTAAAAGTGGAAGGAGAGAACCAACCCCACAAACTTCACCTCTGATCTCGACATGTGTGCCGTGATGTGTGCACACTCACACACACCTCATGCACACCTAAGAATAATAGAGTTTTATGTTAAGAAAGAAACCAAGGGGGAAGTTGGGGGAGGGCTTGGGAGGAGTGGAGGGAGGGAGACAAGGAGGGAAGGTGGTGATCTGGCTGGAGATTAATTAATTACTAATTAATATTGAAAGAAAGTAGTCACACGCCTTCAATCCCAGAACTCAGGAAGCAGAGGCAGTGTGAGTTTGAGGTCAGCCTGATCTACATAGTGCATTCCAGGCGTGTCAGTGTCAGGGCTACCTAGGACGACCCTGCTTTAAAAAAAAAAAAAAAAATTGGTTTAGCAGTTAAGAGCATTAGCTGTTCTTCCAGTACCCAGGTTCAGTTCCCAGCACCCACACGGCTACTCAACTTCTCAACCTTTAATAACTCCAGTCCCAGAGGATTTGATGCCCTCTTCTAACTGCTGCAGGCACCAGGCATGGAAGTAGTGCACAGACAGACATGCAAGCAAAACATTAACACACACAAAACGAAATTCAAAAATCTAAACAACAACAAAACCACATAAAGGGCCGGATGTGGTGGTTCACCCCTTTAATCCCAGCAGCACTCAGGCGATCCTTGAGTCTCAGGCCAGCCTGGTCTATAAAGCTAGTTCCAGGCTACACACAGGAAGAACCTGTCTGGAAAAAAAAATCATCATATCCACTTTACTGGGCTGTCCTGGTTACACAGATTTAGTCCACTGCTCGGTAAACGAGACTTTGCTCTAGAATATCACGTGAGGACCACAGATGCCCCAGAAGAGTTAGAGGGGGAAAGGAAAGAGGCATTTAAGAGCTTCACTGCAGGTCGATTCCCAGTAATGCCTGCCCTCCCCCATCTCAATTGATTCTTCCGAAGACCCTTTCTCCACAGAATTCTTCGAGCAAAGGGGCGTGACCACTGATATTGGTCCCGCCCCTTGCCCTGACAATCTTACACCCGCCAGTCTCCCAATTCCCTTTTTCATTACCACCTACCACATACCACCTGTTCTTGCTCTCCCATCAGGGACCACGAAGCCAGTCTCCAGCTGTGACGCTGAAGTTTTGATCCCATGGAGACACCATCGCTGGAAAACGCAGAGAGGCCGAAAGTGGAGTCACAGAGAAGGGTGTGGTCTGCACTTAAGCCCCGCCCGCTCACTCCGAGTCAGGCGCGGAGCTCATTGGCGCCTGAGCATCTTCGGTGTGACTGGATGAAATTTGGAGAGGCGGGATGACAGGATGATTCTCGCAAGCCGACTGGGCAATCCCTAAGTGGGCAGGTCCAGAGGTGACAGATGTGTGATCTTATTGGCTTCTGCTTGACCGGGAGGTGGGGCGAGGCCTACGGTGTGGAAGAAACCCCGGGAGGTCTCTAGAGAGCCTGAGCTGCACAGGCGCTGTCCGGGTTCGCGGTTCCCACGCCTGACCTCGGGTGCTCCAACGGTGGGGTCATATGGGGGGCCCTGGGATGCTTTGGGATGTTTCTATGATATCTCGGGTTTCTGGATGAGGGCTCTTGGTTGTCTGCAGAACCAGGGTGAACCCTCAAGACCTAGGGATATGAACTCGAGCTTCTGGGACTCAAGCTTTTGGGGTTCTATAATGTGCAGTTGATATTGGGATCTAGAAAAAGCCTGAGATCTTTTGTTCTAGGATGTTGTTTGTTTTTGAGACAAGGCCTCGTGTATCTCAGATTGGCCCCCAATTCCTGATTCTCTGACTGTGCCTCCTCAGTGCTGGAATGACGGAAGCGTACCTGTGCTCTCTTGTACAGAGCTGGAGATGGACCGCAGGGCTTCCTGCACGTGAGGCAAACGCTCTGCCAGCTGAGCCACTTCCCCGGCTGGTGCCTGAGTTATTTGTTTGTTTGAAGATATCTCGGGCTGCCCTCAAACCCAGTGACTTTCCTGCGTCACCCATCTCTGCTGGGGTTACAAGTGTGAGTCGCCAGGCTCACACTTTTTGGAATGGAGTCAGTCTCCCAAGTGTTAAGGTTTACAAGTGTGAGCTTCCACACTAGGCTGAGATTCTTTTATTTATTAATATCATTACTATTGCTATTATTTTGCAAGTGTTGGGGAGGGAGTGTGAGGCCAACACCAACCAAGTCGCTGACCTCACAGCCACAATTCCAGCCCTGAGCCTGAGCTCAGATGGACTGGTTGGGCTTGAGGCTGGGCAGGGACTGCTGTGGTCTTTCCACTGCGGTTTTCATACTGTTTTCCCTCGCTCTGCACCCACCGGTGCTGGCCCTAAGCGTCCTCTGCCAGGTCTCAGCTAGGGGGCGAAGGTTGAAGGTTAAGCTGAGTCACTGGTGCCTACTTTCCAGGGCCACAGGATGGAGGAAGGTGAGGATCCAGGAAGCCTGATTAAAGTGGTCCACTTGCTGGTCTTGTCTGGTGCCTGGGGCATGCAGATGTGGGTGACCTTTGCCTCAGGTAGGTACCTCTCACCTGTTATTTAGGATGGGAATAGAATGGGAGGGGGGACTGAAAGTCTCCTAATAGGTGTTTGTGGCCTTCCACCTCCCAGGCTTCCTGCTTTTCCGGAGTCTTCCTCGGCATACCTTCGGGCTAGTGCAGAGCAAGCTCTTCCCAGTCTACTTTCACGTCTCCTTGGGCTGTGCCTTCATCAACCTCTGCATCTTGGCTCCACAGCGAGCCTGGGTCCACCTCTCATTCTGGGAAGCCAGTCAGGTATGAGGGTTGGAGGGCCACCATTCGCTGCAGATTTGTTTCCAAGACTCCAGTGAGAACTTGTGGAGACTTCATTTTATTGAGAGAGAGAGAGAGAGAGAGAGAGAGAGAGAGAGAGAGAGAGAGAGAACACGTGTGCAGATGTGCACAATTGGTATAGAGACCAGTGGCCAATGTGTCTTCCTCTCCCACTCCCTACCTTATTTTTGTTCATATGTTTGTTCACTGTGTAGACCTGGCTGTCCTGGAACTCTCTCTAGGCCAGGCTGGCATCTGCCTCTTGAGTGTATCACTAGCACCCGGCTTTCATTGTTTTCATTTATGTTTGCTGTCTCTGTGTAGGTATGTGCATATATGTTTGGGTACCCTCAGAGGTCAAGGGTGACAAATCCCCCTAGAACTGTAGTTACAGGCAGCTGTGAGCTGCTTAAAGTGGGCGATGGGAACTGAACTCGGTCCTCTGCAAGAGCAGTATGTTGAACCAGTCATCTCTACACCCCCAAAAGTGTAGCCCAGGCTGGCCTCAAACCTGTGATTCTCCAGCTCTCCCTTTTCGGGACATCCTCCTGGAGTGTGCTACCACAACCAGCTCAAGTGGCGTTGTTTTGAAAGGGGAAAAGAAACGCCTGTTGTTCCTGGTAAAGACATAGCCGGTTACTGTCCCTGAGCAGAGCACACATCCTGAAGAGCTGCCCCTGGCAGCCCTCTCTGCAGCCTTATCTTCCCCATTGGCTCCTATTTCCTTTCTGCCCAATAGCTGGGCCTCCTGCCAAACTGGAGTGACTCAGCTCAGCTGAGGTTCCGACCTCAGTTCATTGTGTAAAAACTAGCCGGACTGGGAATTTAGGTTTCCTCACTCCTGTCTACATGTTCCCTCAGTCACAATGTAAGGAACAATTCTTGCAGCTCAGATTTCCTCACCCTTCCCTCCCTCTCCTCTTAAAGTTTTCAGATGTGGGTAAGACTTGATGTATCAAGAGTGGTCTCTCAGCCCAGTGTGGTGGTGCATACACCGCACACATTTGCACACACTCACACACACATATACACACACTTGCACACACTACACACACTTGCACACACCACACACACTACACACTTGCACACACACTACACACTTGCATACACACTACACACACTTGCATACACACTACACACACTTGCATACACACTACACACACTTGCACACACACACTTGTTACCCCAGAATTTGTGAAGATGAGCCAGGGAGATTGCACAAGTTCCAGGCTACCCTGGGCTACATAGTAAGACTCTGTTTCAAAAACAACAAAACCAAGCTAGGTGTAGTGGTGTGCACCTTTAGTTCCAGCATTCCGGAGGCAGAGGCAGGAGAATCACTGTGAGTTAGAGGCTGACCTGGCCTACATAGAGAGTTCAAGGACAGTTAGAAGGCAGCACAGGCCTTTTATCCCAGCTCCCAGGATGCAGACATGTGTAAGTCTGAGGCTATTCTGGTCTACAGATCCAGTTACAGAACAGCCAGGTCTGTGCAGTGAAACCCTGTCTCAAAACACCAAAATAAGGGCTGGAGAGATGGCTCAGTGGTTAAGAGCATTGCCTGCTCTTCCAAAGGTCCTGAGTTCAATTCCCAGCAACCACATGGTGGCTCACAACCATCGGTAAAGAGGTCTGGTGCCCTCTTCTGGCTTGCAGGCATACACACAGACAGACTATGTATACATAAAAAAAAAAAAAAAAAAAATTTTAAAAAAAAAAAAAAACACCAGGGGCTGGAGTGATGGCTCAGCGGTTAAGAGCACTGCCTGCTCTTCCAAAGGTCCTGAGTTCAATTCCCAGCAACCGCATGGTGGCTCACAACCATTTGTAATGGGGTCTGGTGCCCCCATTACATACATACACACAGACAGAATATTGTATACATAATAAATAAATATTTAAAAAAACACCAAAATAAAATAAAAATTTAAATGAAAAAACCAAGGCTGACATGGTGGTAACACCTATAATCCCAGCATTTGGAGTTGGTGGTGGGAAGATCAGGAGTTCAAGGTCAGTGTCAGGCACTTAGGAAGTGTGGAACAAGGCTGAGCTACTGTGATCCTATCTCAACTCGCTCCCCACAAAAGAATAATCTCTGAGAGGTCAGAGAGGGTTATGGGTAGCTAGTATTTCCCAGGTGTTTGATTCATTTCCTGTTGGTTCAGTGTCAGTTCCAGGGGTCACAGAAGAGATGGGCCCTATTTTAAACTGTGTGCTTTTGAGCAGAAAGAACCATGAGTATTGTTTGTCTTACTTTTGGGGAGAACCAGGTGGGCATCCTATCATCCCAGCTCTCTGGGGGGCTTAGCCAGGAGGATTGCAAATTCAAGGCCAGCCTTGGCTACATAATGAGTTTCACTCCAGCCCAGGCAACTTAGTGAGAACTTGCCTCAAAGGGAAGGGTGGAGGCTGGGGGATGACTTGGGCAGAAAAGTGCTCCCTGCAGAAACATGAGGACCTGAGTTTGAATCCTCAGCTCCATCCAATCACCAAACCCAGAGGAGTTACTCAACACAGGGGGCAGAGACAGGCAGATCCCTGAAGCTCATTGGCCAACCAGTCAGTCCAGCTGAATAAGGGAGTTCCGGGATCAATAAGGGACACCTCCTCAAAAACTAAGGTGGCCGCTTTAGCAAGCCAAGGCCCTTGCTTGCTAAGCCTGAGGACAATCTGAGTTGGACTCCTGAGGATCTACATGGAGGAAGAAGAGAAATGACTCCCTCGAGTCTGCACATACACACACCAAGGCATGTTATCACACACACACACACACACAAGTAAATGCAGTAAAATTTTTAAAAAAGAAAAAGGGCCAGGTGGTGGTTATGCACACCTTTAATCCCAGCATTTGGGAGGCAGAAGCAGGCCTCTGTGAGTTTGAGGCCAGCCGTCTACAGATCGAGTTCCAGGACAGCTAGGGCAGAAACCCTATCTTGAAACACTCCCCATTCCCACCCCACTCCCACCCTACCCCTGCTATCCAAAAAAATGTGGAACCCCCCCCACATGTGTACCTGCAAGCACATATGCACATACATGAACATGTGTATATACCACCTCCACACAAAACAAGTGAGCAAAGGGCTGGGTATGTAGCTCAGCAGTAGAACTTATACTGCATCTGAGACCCGAAAATCAATTCTCAGTACTGCAAAAAACACGTTTTGTTTTGAAGAGGCAGCTTAGGTGTTCAAGGGACAGTAGGGGTGCAGACTGTGCCCTGGGCCAGGGAGCAGAAGAGAAGAAGCCATAGATTCTTTACTGCTCTCAGGGTCCCCACTCTCTCTGGGCTGTGAGGAGGTTGGCATACCCTCTCTCAGATTGTCACCCTCCTCACTTTGCCTCCCCGGCACTGTCCTCAGCTCGCTCTACTGCTCCTGAGCCTCACACTGGCCACTATCAATGCACGCTGGCTGGAGGCCCGCACCACGGCT